GCCAAATGGCTGATAGCCTGGCCAACAAGGGACACATCTGCATTCAGGAGCAGGTGTGGCTGAAAGTAAAAGAGCTCTGCCAGGCATCTGCCAGGGCCAGTGTGGGCACCCCATACCTGCCCCTACTTCAAGGACCTGGACTGCATCCTGGTGGGCAGGGCAGTCCCTTCACACACAGACCCTGGTAGTGGATTTGGGGCTTGAGACGCCCGTCATCAGCCTCCCAGGGGACAGAGACGAGGAGGAGGAGGAACAGACGAGGCCAGCACCATCACCCTCCTGACCTTGGAGCTGTGTACCTCATGCTGTGGATGTGTCCCAGGCATCATCTGAGGCCAGGGAAGGAACATCATGTGAGTGCCATCACGTTCCCTTCATACAGGAAGCGGAGGGGCTGTCCGGGGAAGGGGGCACTTCTCACTCGGTCCTTGCAGCCTTGCATGCAAGAGCATGTGTTGTGCCACTCCTGGCCACACAGCACAAGGAAGCTGCCACAGAGGACCCTTGTGCAGGGTATCTGGAGAGGCCTGACATACTCATGACACCGAGGTGACACCCTCCCTGCACAAGCCACTCCTAGAAGGCAGCTGGGGACACACACGGGCATGCCCGCACTCTTAGAGTAGCATCCGCTCCTGGGGACAGCGTGGTGAGGTGCAGCTGCTCTCAGCTCACAGATGGGGGAAGGCTTCAGGCACAGTGTCCCCGGGGATGACTGACCATCTCTCTTTATTCTCCACAGCCAGACCAGCTGTGAGAGGGGGGTGGTCAACACCCCCCGGGGACAGCCTCCCAAACCCAAGGGAACAGCAGGTGCTGGAGACCCATGGACGACTTCCAGAGTGAGCACCTCACAGCACTCCGATCCCTGGAGCAGACCATCCACCACAGGCTCCAGGAAGACATCCAGCTGCGACAAGACACCTGGTGGGAGCTGCTAGCTCAGCACTGCACCATGTGCGTGGCTGTGTAATCCCTCACAGCCTGCTCCTGCTCCTATGCCTGCTCTCGCTGTAGCTCCCTCTCCCACTCCCCCTTACACTCCTCCCCCAAGGCTGCTGTGACCCCTGCGCCTGTGGCAGTGGGATCACCACAGCCAGGCACCACTCCCAGCCTCAGCCATGAGCCTCTCCCCACCTCTTCTCCATCTTCCAGCTCTCTCCTCCCCCTCCAAGGTTCTCATCCCCCTCCTCCCCGCTCTTTGCTCCCCTCTCCCAGGTTCTTTCCCCTGTCCCTCCCCAGTTACTCTGACCCTAAATAAAAAGAAACGGAGATTTTAGTTTTTCCAAAACAAACTATCTTTTTTATTGTCTCAACAGTGCAGGCTGGGAGGGGAGGAGTGTTGGAGGAAACTCAGAGAGAGGCAATGCACAGGCTTCTAGTGGCGCCTAGGGGAGAGTTTCACTGGGGCGCTACGAGAAACTCTCCCTCAGAGAGCGCTGAGCGCTGCGAGAAACTCTCCCTCTCCCGCATGTGCACAGACCCCTGATGGGCCTGCCAGATGGCACTGCCAATGTGGTCAGCCTCCGCCCCCCAGCCAAGCCGGAACGCCTCCCCCTTCCACTCACAAATATTGTGGAGCACACCATGTGAGGGATGTTGCACTTCCCAAGGTCCAGGCAGGTGAGAAGGCATCTGAACTGCGCCTTCAAACTCCCGAAGAGGCCCTCTACGACCATATGAGCCCTGCTGAGCCTGGCGCTGTAGCATGGTCAACATGGCCGTGTATGGCTTCATGAACCAAGGCAAGAGAGGGCAGGCCACATCCCCCACCATGCACATGGGCACGTCCCCAACCCTGATGGTGCCGTGGGGAAGAAAAATTTCCATCATGCAGCTTCTCAAAGACGCTGGAGTTTCAGAACAAGCAGGTATCATGCACATTCCCTGACCATCCAATGTCCGTAAACTGGCACTGGTGGTCCATGACGGCCTGCAGGACCATTGAAAAGTATCTCATCCAGTGGTCGGGAACCTGGATGGGGAGGTGGGTGTCATCAATGGCCCCCCCGCATTTGGGGAAACCATGTTGGCAAAGCCCCCAACAATGGTGTTCACGTCACCAAGGTGGATGACCTTGTGTAGCAGGACGGTTTTGATGGCCCGCATCACTTGCAAAAGGAGACAGACAGAGATTCACAGGGGTACCAGAGCCCTTGGGAAGTCCCTCAGCCCAACTCCCTATTCTCCCCTCCCCTGCCATACTGGAGCAACCCCCACTACTCACCCCATCCCCCGGAAGGACTTTGTGAGGGTGGTACTAAAAAAACCTCCAAGGGAGAGGGCTTGAACCACTCTCCCACCCCTTTCCTTAGTCCACCCTACACCTTGGAACAATAGCCCAAGAATGCTGTGTCTGCATGAGCATGGCCCTGATGGTCGATCTCCCAATGCAGAACTGGTTCCCAACAGATCAGTAGCTGTCCAGCGTGGCGAGCTTCCAGAAGCCATGGCAACCCACTTCCGGAGGGGAATGGTGCGTCTCATGTGAGTGTCCTGTCACCTGAGGGCGGGGTGAGCCACTCACAGAGCTCCAGAAACTTTTCCTTCCTCATCCTGAAATTCTGGAGCCATGCCGGTGGGACTGGATTATCATGGAAATGCTGGCCTCCCCACTGTTCCAGGATAATCCAGTCCCACCAGTCTGGTTGTGTCCAGAAGCCAAAAGCAGTGGTGCAAGGTGTGAAGAGGGGGGAGGGGGGGATTCAGCTGCATGAGCCATGCCACAGAGATCCAAGGAGGGTCTCCCAGAGGAGCTGGGGCTTGGGTTCCTGCAGGGCCTGGGCTGCAGCCGGCACAAACTGCTGTATGAGTTGCAGCACAAGCCGGAATAGCCGTAGACTGCCCAGAGGCAGCTCCGGCTCCATCACTAGCAAGCTGAGGGGTCCACAAGGACAACTGCAGCAGGCAAAAGAAAAGGGTTTGCTGTCCCTCGAGGAGGCAGGCAAAAGAAAAAAGCCTGAGCCATGGCAGAATAGGGGTTCCTTTAAGCAAGAGCCTCAGCTAGCCTCAAGCAGCAGCCACAGGAAGTAACTGCTGACCTGATGCCCTGCCTTAAGTGGTTCCCAGTGGCCTTAAATGCGAGTTAGTGTCCAGTCAGTGTGGCCACTCTATTTTGAAATAGCTAAGCACTATTTCCATGTGCTTTTGGTGTGTAGACGCGCAATTTCAAAATAAGCTATTTCGGAAGATATCTTCTGAAATAGCTTATTTTGAAATAAATCTGCAGTGTAGACATAGCCTAAAATGCCTATTTCAGCTCTCAGGAAGACGATTCATTTAATTTAACTAGGATTCTGTGCCTGACTTCTGCTATAAATACTAGTCAAATAAGAATAATTTCTCAGATACTGTGATCCAGTGCCACCTCCACTCAGCTGCTCAGGCCTTCTCTATGCACAAGTTTGAACTGATTTAATTAAAAGTGGTTTAAAAAACTGATTTAGTTAAACTAGTGTAAATTCTTTCTATGAATGCTCTTGGATTCATCTAAACCTGGCTTATTTCCAAATGATTCAGTTTTTACTGAGTTAAGCTAAATGGATGAGACACACTTATGGGATTTATTAGCAGAGAGGCATCTGTATCTCATTCTTGCTTTAAAAAAAACCTCTTATAATTATCTGGTATGTGTGCAAGCAGGAGTGTATGTAATTGGACCAAGGGAATTTATTTGAAAACTATTCTTGATTGGTAGTTTTTCATATATTTAAAACAACCTTGAGTTAAAAAACCTCACTTTCAATAAAAGAAGGTTTGGAAGGATTCAAATTTTAAATTAGTATACTGCAGTAAATAGAGACTTCACCATACACAAACTGATGAAAAAATTTCTGAAATATACCTGAAATTTCAGATAGGCAAATTAAGCAAAAAATGCTAGCTAAGCACTTCTTTAAGGATTTGTTTCATTTCAGAATATTCACTTTGTATATTTTGACAAGTAAAGTTGGGGATTTGTGTGTTAGAAGTTAAAGCTTTAGCTTTTTGAATCTCAGCATCTACTGTCAGAGAGTTATTATCTGATCTTCCCTATTGTCTGGCACTCCCCACCCCCCAATTTCCCACAATAAATAAAAATAAACATTGATATTATTCATCAATTTTTTAATAAAATTCAGTTATTCCAAAGCCTGTATAATTTCACATGTGCATATTTTATGGGTTGAGAGTGGTTCATTAATCCTGAAAACACTTGTTTTCACCAGGCTATTTTATTAATTTGAATTTCAAAATGTAGTAAATTATGTAATCTCAATTTGGAAATTTTCATGTAACCCTATGTTGAGGAGGAAAAGATTAGCTATTATTTAATCACCTATCATTTTGATTGGATGCTTTAATTAGTTTTAGATTTAGTCTCATCCTTGGTTTCACTCTTAGGACTGATTTGTCCCTTCTGTTTGGCTGGAACAGAAACTATGAATTGGCATTGTGATTTGTAATGCCTTATTATTTTGGAGCTGATAGTTGAATAAAAATACTGCCCTCCCAATAGCAAATGCATGGTAATGACAAACAGAACCAAGGCTAGAATGGAGCCCTATTTCATACAAGTACCCACTTTGAACTACACAGTGGATGCAAAGATTAGAAAACAGACAGTGGATGCAAAGAGTAGAAAAGAACAAGCTAGATTTAGGCCCAAGAGATTCTGTGTAGATAACATATTTACAATAAGGATGATCATAAAAGTAGGATGGCACTCCTCCATCATCATCAGTTTCACTGATTTTCAAAGTTATCTGACAGCCTGAACAGATACATAGTGTGGAATATTCTTCCAACCTACAGAATCCCAGTAAAAGTTGTCAGCCTCACTAAGGCCATATATAATTTTCCAGGGCTGGTGACACACTCTGCCAGGCCCTGGGCAATGTTGGGAGTTGGTAGGGGGCTTGACTCTGCCCTAGTAGGGGCATGGGCTCAGGCAGAAGGTTGTGGCTATGGGCAGTGCTGTGTGGACTGTGCTGCAGGGAACTCCAGGAGCAATTGAAAAGGCCCAGGGCTCTGGCTGCTGCCATTGCTGTAGTAACAGTGGTGGTGGACTGGAGCCCCAGGCCCTACCCCGTCAGTGGTCCTGTGTGCTTCCTACAACTCATTCGATGTTTCCAAGCCTAAAACTGATGAATGTTTGCAAAGCCCCATCAAAGGAAAGGTATGATGCTAAAGTGTGCAGCATTATTTGTATTGTATTGCCAGTATTGAACCAAGGGAGTTTGTGGAGTCCCTGTCATTGGAGGTTGTAAAGAACAGGTTAAATAAACCCTGTCAGTGATGGTCTAGGTTTGGTTGATCCTATTTCAGTAGGCTGGGTGGGGACATGAGATGGGCTTGATGTCCTCTTGAGTTCCTTATAACCTTGTACTATGATGCTATTTTTTTCTCTTACAGAGTCACAAAAAGAACCAGAAAGCAACAAATTATAAACTCAAACAGGCTTGTAAACAAAAGCGAATTGCCAAGATCCTGACATTTGCCCTGATTTCTGCTCTGTGACTTTGGGCAAAAAAATGTGTGAGCTCAACAAAAACACAACAAATAACTCAACAGTCACTCACCCAATCCCACTAGGTCTGGTCCTGGGTAGCATCTCACTGATCACAGTCATCATGAATATTTTGGTCCTATATGCAGTGAAAACAGAAAGAAAGCTGCAAACAGTTGGTAACCTGTACATTGTCAGCCTATCCGTTGCAGACCTTATAGTTGGAGCAGCTGTTATGCCGCTGAACATGATGTACCTACTGAAAGGCAAGTGGGTACTGGGCAGTCTAGCCTGTTTGTTCTGGCTCTCAATGGATTATGTAGCCTCCACAGCCTCCATCTTCAGCCTTTTTATATTGTGCATAGATCGTTACCGTTCAGTACAACAGCCACTCAATTATCTCAAGTACCGGACCAAAACTAGAGCATTGGTAATGATTTCTGGAGCTTGGCTGATTTCTCTTCTGTGGATCATCCCGATTCAAGGCTGGCATGCTTTTGCCAATATTAGGAATCGGACAGTGGGTGAAGTTACCTGTGAAACAGAATTCTCCCAAGTCACCTGGTTTAAAGTGTTGACAGCAATTGTCAACTTCTATGTCCCATCTTTACTGATGTTATGGTTCTATGCAAAAATATACAAAGCTGTCAGGAAACACTGTCAGCACCGAGAGCTCATCAATGGATCTTTTCGATCTTTCTCAGAAAACAAAAGTGTACATCATAAAGGGCAGGAAAAGCAAAAGATTTGCCACAAAAAGTCAAATAAAGATATACCCTCAAGTCTTTTGAAAGGAAGCTCTGCAGATCCTTGCTGCAATGTAAATCTCCACTTTCCTCAGTCTAAACGTATGGAGGCAAAACTTCAACTTGGCAGCTTTGACAACTGCCCAAACACTCTCATTACAGAAGATGACAGCAAAGTAGTAAACCGGAGCTGCTTTCCTCTTGCTATTGCCCAGACTCAGTCAGGACCAGATAAAGTAGGAATTAAGTATGTGTCGGTCAAGAAGGGGCCAGAGTTAAGTGACACATCAGATGAGCACACTTTCATAGAAGGGGTCTTGTGTAAAAATGACTCCTATTCCACCCTGGAGCCAACTTCTAGTGCTGAGGACAAGACTAACAAAGGCCTTGGTTATCTGAAGAGCACCTGGCTGAGACTGCGCACCCAGTCCATGCAAGGGGTGCATCTGAACAGGGAGAAGAAAGCAGCCAAGCAGTTGGGTTTTATAATGGCAGCCTTTATGCTGTGCTGGATTCCTTATTTTGTGCTGTTTATGGTAATAGCCTATTGTCAAAGCTGTTGCAACCAGGGTTTCTACATGTTCACTATTTGGCTTGGTTACGTAAACTCCACTTTAAATCCATTCATCTATCCCCTCTGTAACGAGAACTTCAAGACGACTTTCAAAAAGATCCTTCATATTCACTCATAATGTATCTTCAGGCTGTTTTTATTTGGATTAAAAAAGCAAGTCCAGGTTTTCAAAGAAAGAAAGCTTTCCAGTTTCAAAGGAAATTATGACTGAGATAGAAGGCTTAAATGTAAACAGTAGACCTATCATGTGAAAACAGAAAACACATATTTACATGACAAAGAGCTTTCAAGTTCAACATGTTTAAAAGGGAACTGATTTTGACCAGGATTCCTAAAAACTCAGGGCTCAGACTCAGGACTGCTATGCTAATAATGTATATATTTTACAACTTTTAAGATTTCCTCTTTACATTGTGTAGAACAAAACTGGAAAGATGGACAGAAATCTTTAGTTATGAGCTAATTAGATGCGGAAAGAGAAGAAATACTTCAGTTTATATCCTCTGTAACTTCTAAAAAGTTAACTTGGAAACATGCTGCTTGTTGAAGGCACCAATCTCTCACAATATATGCTTTTTCATGTAGTTAAAAGGATGGCACTTGAACTGTTTGAAAATATAACCTATTTATTAATAAATTCCCCCAGAATAATGCACTTATAGAGATAAGTTGCATTGTCATGTAATATAGAAACTATTGGTACTGTGTTGATTTCTAGCAGCACTGTGCATTTTCTATATGTTAAGTACTGTGTTGATTTCTAGCAGCACTGTTCATTTTCTATATGTTAAATATTTTTGCCAAATTTAAGACTTCTCAAACCTATCTTACAATAGTTTCCTTTGCTAGAAGAGAATACAATGGTTTCTAAACTTGCACTGTATAGACAGAGAATAATATTGTTTTTCTCCTTTCTAAAACTAAGGGCTTGTCTCCACTACAGGGTGGATCGATGCTACAGCGATCAATACACTAGCATTCCATTTAGCGAGTCTAGTAAAGACCCTCTAACTCAACCCACTAAATCAATCACTCTCCTGTTAACTCTTGTACTCCAGCAGAATGAGTAAGGAGAGTTGACAGGAGAGTTTTTTCTGTCAATCACCTGCAATGTGGATCCAGCAGTAAGTAGATCTAAACTACATTGATTTTAGTTACGCTACTAATGTAACTCAAACTGTATAGCTTACATCAACCTGTTCTTGTAGTGTAAACCTGCCCTATGACAGCAAGTCCCACTAAAGCTGGTACTCATATGCTACACTACACTATGTGAATTCTTCATACAAAGCTGCTTACAGCAACTAATCTTTTCATAGGAAGGAAAGTGAATGATTAGAGTACATTTTCCTCTGTCATTTAAGTTTAATTCTCAAACTGTATAGCTTACATCAACCTGTTCTTGTAGTGTAAACCTGCCCTATGACAGCAAGTCCCACTAAAGCTGGTACTCATATGCTACACTACACTATGTGAATTCTTCATACAAAGCTGCTTACAGCAACTAATCTTTTCATAGGAAGGAAAGTGAATGATTAGAGTACATTTTCCTCTGTCATTTAAGTTTAATTGCATCTTCCAAGCCAGTGGTCCCCAACCTTTACGGGCTCCCGGGCGCCCGGGGGCGGGGCCACACTCGCGCTGGGCGCCCAGGGGCGGGGCCACACTTGCGCTGGGTGCCCGGGGGCGGGGCCG